CACACACACACACACACACACACACACACACACACACACACACACACACACACACACACACAGACAGACACACAATCCACATTAGGTACAGAAAATGAAGGGTGCACCCAAACTGCAAAATAAATAAATAAATAACACAAAGGTGCCAGTCAGTGTATAACACACTAATCTGGTCTAAAATGTAATAAAACAACATACAGACACATTGTGACAAGTCTAGAGGAGACAACTTTTTATGCAAGAAGCTACAGTATATAAAAATAAATTTATCTACCTTAGTGGGATTTCTGACACTGAGAGGAGGAGCCCAGGGTGTCATAGGCGGGGCAGTATGAGGTGGTTGCGAGGCGCAGGCAGGTCTCCAGATGACCATCAGTCATTGTGGATCTGTTCTTGGACTTGATGATTTTCATGTGAGAAAAAGCAGACTCACACAGGTAGGTTGATCCTAAAAGTGCAGTCAAGTTCAAAGCACATCTTTGGATGTTGGGATACTTTTCCTCTGACAGCAGACTCCAGAACTCTCCATCCACGCCAGGTGATACTCTGGATTTGATCCCAATGTCATTTTGCAGAGTCAAAATCTCATTTTCAACACCAGAGCTGTCCAGCTGAAACACGGACACCAGTCTGGACACAATGTCATCCACATCAACGTTTCCAAAAGGATAACACATGTAGCTGGTAACCGGCACGATGGAGGAAAAGTCAGTAAAGCGCCTCTCAAATTCAGATGAGATGCTCTGAACCTGCTTAGAATAGTGTGCACTGTCCAGCTGTGTTACTTCTTTCCCTTGGCGCTGTAGCTCTACCTCCATGTGGGGAGAGTTTCCCAGGTCCCTGCGTTGCAGCCGACTTGTGAGAAGTTGCAGCCTGCTTGTGAAGGTGCTCACAGAACTGATCAGGTGGATGATATTCTTATTTTTTCCCTGAAGCTCCAAATTCAGTTAGTTGAGCAGGCTGGTGAGATCAGTGACGAAGGCCAAATCTAAAAGCCACTGGGTGTCTTCTAATTTGGGATGTTCACCATGGCCTGACTGCTTCAGAAAATCCCTGATCTCAGGCAACAGCTCACTGAATCTGGCCAGCAATTTCCCTCTGCTTAGCCACCTCACATCCATGTGCAGCAGCAGGTCTGTGTGGTCTGTTCCTGCCTCCTTCAAGTGATCCCGGAACAACCTCCTCTGCAGACTCCTGGCCCTTATGGAGCAGACAGTTTTCATGGCCACATCCATCACTTCTTTCATGTTTAAAATCTTCCCACACAGGGCCTGTTGGTGGATTATGCAGTGGTAGTTCAAAATGTCTGGGAAAGAGTCATTCCTCT